AAAAAATTCTGAAAAAATTCTCAGAACTTTATGAGAAGAAAATAAATAATTTTTGTCTCTTGCAGTTTTTCTGTAAAGTTGATAGTATTTGAGTAAAATTTATTCAAGACTAATATTTTACAATTTTTAGTAATTAATATCTTGCTAACTATTGCGAAAATTGCAAAATGGTAGAGGACTTTTCGACTCAGTTTAGTCCACTCTATCTACACAAAAGTGATTGGCAAAAAAGGTCGAGACACCCTGTATATGACATTAATTAATATTATGGCTTAATATATGTCGAGTAGTTTATGATTATGTCTTTTTCCTAGATTGTGTGGATTGGATATGCAAAGTCAAGCTGCATATGAGTTGGCTGTGCAAGGTCCGATAAGACCTGTTGACATAAACATTCCAATGATATACAATATAAAATGTATAGATTTTAAATCTCCTGAATTCACATTAGGTAAATGTAATATTTGTTAAATGTATAAAGACATATGTGTGATAATAATACATTTTTTACTTTTTTTCAGAAATTATTTGCATAAATGAGAATGATATGTATTTGAAAACTTTGATTCATGATTTGGGAATGCAGCTCCATAGTGTCGCTACGTGTACTCAAATACAGTGTTTCCGGTATGCGTTATTTGATCTAAATCTTACCCTGTTGAAAAAACATTGGGAGTTGGAAAACTTTTGTAATAATATTATACAGTGTAATACTATAATTAATGAAAATAGGTATTTATTGAAACAAGATAGTCCGATATTGATAGAACGAAATAATTAATTGAAATCTAAACTAATTAAATGTACATAATAATAGTAAGCCACATAGTTTGATAGTAAAAAGAAAGACTTCTATGACTTATACTATATATTCTTCATTCCCTGAGAGAATAATCTAGTTTAATAGGCCATTAGTAGAATGGAAGTAAAATAGAAACCTCTTAAATTGCATAGTTAATAATATAATTAATAAATGAATTCAATAGCATATATATGCACAAATTAATACAAAGCATATTTTTTTAATTCTTTTTATATCGTATGAATACATTACCATTAATAGATTTAAAAAATCATGTGCGTTCGTGCGCACAATTTATACGAATTTGTCGTTAATCATTTTATGGAGAATCTCATGTATAACATTGTTAAATGGATACATTACTGGGATTCTTCCATATACGGATAATTCTTTAACCTTTCATTGTCACACTTTCGTAAAATTTTACGGTTATCACACTAAGTCAATTGGACAATTGATGCCATCTAAAACTCTATCTGATTCGAACAAAAAAAAAATAAGGAATATATTTTGAACATTATAGTTTTATTAATGATAACGTTACGAATTAAATAATATGTTAAAAAAATTCTTGAAAACGCACATATAAAAAAAGTAAACTGTAACGTAAAAAAAATAAACTTCATTTTTTAGCTTTTTTAAGTTAAAATTTTAGAGTGGTATTCCTAAAACATAATACTTTCAAATAAAAATATGTACTAGTGTATGTTTCAACAAATATATTTTTTTGATATGTGAAGAAGGAAGAAATATTATTTTCTTTTCGAACAGCTGCCACACATGTACTGACTTGTTTTTTGAATAGTTAACTATTTCAACCTCTAGAGAAGACCTCTAACTTCTGATTGATAATCGCATATGGCTCGATTACAAGCTACGCCGTAAAAGTTATACAGCCCAAAATTTGGACTACAAGTTATTTTGATTTGTCGTGACAACAGAGGATTAATATAGAATGCAGATGGATTTCAATTATGAAAAAGACAAGAGGTACAAGTACAGTCCACTTGATTCTACAAATGCTGCAACGCATTTGTAGCGCGAAGTGGACCGCACTCAAAATGACAAAAATCGAATCAATGGCTGCGTTCAACAGAGAAAGCAGCTTTGCAACTATTATAAGATTCTCCAATACAATTGGTTCTTGCTTATTCCTGATATATATATATATATATATATATATATATATATATCTAAACGTATAAACTAATCATTGCAGAATGCTGAACGCAGCCATTAGACTGGATTTTCACCTCTCGCTACGACGTTCATTTTCAGCGATAAAACAGATCGTGTGATCAAAATTGATGAATATCAAGCATCAATTCTGATCACGTGACCTGTTTTGACACTGAAAATGAGCGAGCGTCATAGTGTCAGGTGAAAACTCAGCCCTATATGAAAGAGCTAATGATAGTTTTCATAAAAAACGAAAGAATTAAGATCTTTACATAATTTTCGCAAATTATTTGCAGTTGGGATTCTTATTAACATCAAATTGTATTAATAAGGTATTCTTATAAGATGCTTATTAGCATCAGTATTGTTAAATTGACAAGCAATTTAATATATGTGATATTACTACTTTAATTCTGTTCAAGATTATGATTCAAGATTAAAAAAGATTACGACGTACGGTTTGCAGAATTTGATATATACAGGGTATCCCGATCTTCTTTGCCAATCACTTTTGTGTAGATAGAGCGGGTGGCACCCAGTTGGACACGAGCCACTCACAACGCTTGAGACTACAAAGCTTCTAGGCATCTGGTCGCTGTGATTGGTGGTATCCAATCGAGCCGTGATCAATCGGGATCACCCCGAGCGGACTAAACTGAGTCGAAAAGTCCTCTACCATTTTGCGATTTTCGCAATAGTTAACAAAATATTAATTACTAAAAATTGCAAAATATTTGTCTTGAATAATTTTTTACTCAAATACTATCAACTTTACAGAAAAACTGCAAGAGACAAAAATTATTTATTTTCTTCTCATGAAGTTCTGCGAGTTTTTTCAGAATTTTTTATCAACTTTTTAGTACTGCATTTTCTTATTTTTACCAACATGAGAAAATACGATATTAAAAAATTCTGAAAAAATTCTCAGAACTTCATGAGAAGAAAATAAATAATTTTTGTCTTGTTACGTCCCGAGCGCGAGTTTCCAGCGGTCTCGAGACGCGACACGAGTTGCGGGAACGCTAGCGCGGAGCGGGGCGCGCGGGGCGAAGTCTTAGCTTCTACGCGGTGTTTTGACGCGTTTTTCCCTTGTTTGGGAATAGGCAGCTGTCACCAGTGCTCGGAAATGAGCACGAAATTCGGAGATAATGTATTTAATTCTAAGAAGTTACTTGAGTTTAAAGTAGTTAGCCTTCCAGGTTTTTCTAATAAAATAAAATGGAGAGTTTAGAGGATGCGTCAGTTGACTTCATTTCGCATCTCTATCTACACTCTCCTGTATGTTTGAGAAGGACTTGGAAGGATTTGAGAAGGCCTTAAGGGCAGATAAATGAAAATAGAAATATTTTATACTATACGATTTTAACGTTGATAGAACATGGTGAGTTGCTATTTATTCGAGGTTTGTTCGTTATAAGAATGGGCCTCGTGGGCTTGCGCACGGGCGCTATATGTAGCGGAGACTGTGGAGGCCTAGGTCGCGGCTGCGGTATTGTGGTGACCGTTTTTAACCCCTCGGAAGTGTGGACCGCGCCTGACGTGCTCTCGATTTCGCGCGTCGTGGTTGGCGCGTCGGCGATAGGCTCGTGGGTCTCTTTTACGTTATTTTCCCAATGGCGGGAAGGGTCGAACGTTCCTTCCGCGAACAGTTCCCGTTGGAGCCTTTTTATGTGAACGCGCCACCCTCCTCGCTTGCCGCGTGGACGCTTTTTCTGCGGCATCTGCGCCCAGAAAGAACGTTGGAGAGTACGGCAGATCGGAAAGAGAGAGGGAGTGCGGAGGCCTCGACGCCGTGGAAGGCGCTCGTTTGGAGTTTCCGCAGGGAGGTGATTTCGGCGTCGCCGTGGTGAGCGCTGCTGAAATCAGGCGAGGAGTTAGCCCGTCAGACGCCGTGGTTGGCGCACGATCGGGGCTGGATTTCGGTAGGAATTACAGAAGATCCGGAGCGCTAGTGAAAGCGCTAGGAGTCCTTACCGTTCTGGTTTTCCAGGAAAGAATAAGGCAATTTGTCTGTAAATCGTCCCGCTTTATATATATTTTGTATCGTGACCCCTCGCGGTAAGGGGGTGTTTTCGCACACGTGTTGTTGTGAAATTCTCTCGAATATTCTAATTCTTCTATCGCGATTTATTTAATTACTGTGTGTCTTTTTGCCTTTTCGGTTGTTCTCATGTTTAGCGGGGTTCGCAATATTCCTAGGGGTGCTCTTGGTTGGCGCGTGATGCACTCGGTCGCGGCG